GATATAGGCTGAACAATATAATGTTTACTACTAATCATTAACTTATTAGAAGAAGAATATTTCCTCGAAGTCGATAGAGTTCTTCATCAATTTTAACTAAGTAACTCAATACTATTGAAAAGTATTAATTTAATAATTTTGATCGTCGAGATCATGCGTCAATTGAAGCTAGATCACTATGGAATACCTAGAAGCACTGGGCGGCCGTCTCGTCCCATTGTGGGATTCCTCAGTAGTACAAATCCACGCATCCCGCAAGATTCGAACCCAGGACCTGCTAGTCTCGCGTGCGAGCGCTTAACATCTAGACCACTGAGCCGGCATCCAATGATGTTAACGTCTAACTTCAACTAATCCACGAAATTGAACGGTGCATCCACCATTGTCATCAGTGATTTACTATCTCACAACAGACCCGGTTGAACTCCACTGGTCACTGCTTCTCACTAGAACTCCAAGAAGTACCTGTTGAAGCCAATCGCTTGTGATCATATGTTGATTAGTATCAGAAAGGGTTTTTGTGGATATTATAGTAATTTCGATAGTTGAGATCATGAGTTAATTGAGGCTAGACTATCATGGAAGACCTGGAAACACTAAACGGCCGTTTCGTCCCATTGTGGCATTCCTCAGCAGCGCGCATTCACGGTTCATGATCTGAGCTATTGAAATTACTGTAGTATCCACAAAACCCCTTCTGATATTAATTTAATAAATGGTCTGTATAAATAGAAGCTATCTTATTAAAAGTCATCATTTTACTTTATACCAATATCGAAATTCTTTTACGTAATACGGTATGAGTTTATATTTATATTTATTTAAAATAGCTGTATATTGTATGCAGTGGTTAGTAGTTTTCAGTTATCAGTAATGACGATTACTTTGATGGTTTGAAATATATCACGAATAATAAACGTTTGTTGTTCTTGCTCTATTTAAATTTATCCATGAGAAAAATTGTATGAAACAAATGTATCTGTTTAGTTTAAATAAGTGGTAATAAGTTATAAGGTCAAACTCTATGGCTTTCCATCAGTGACCTTTAAAAATGATATTTCAGTATTCTATGAACAATGGTCATGTTTCAGTTAGTTCAATGTTCTGTGACAAAAGTAATTTTGATAAGAAAAAAGTTTGAATCATAATAAAAATTAGGGATTTTGTATCAGCTGCTTGAAACTTAAAACGTATAAAAAATATTTTCCTATGTTCTATTAATTTTACACAAACAAGCTATGTTACCTGATGGCGAAAATATGTTAAAATCAAGTTATGAAATTACAATGAAACGTGTTTGGCTCACTTTTTATACTTTATTAGTTCATTTCTGTTAGCATCAATCATGAGTTGCTTATATTTACTTTTACGTAAAGCTGATGTTAATTCTTTAGAAAAACTTTGAGTTGTTATTAAAAGATGGAATACATGATCGTGGATTTATACTGTTAGGTTTTCATTGTTCTAAATGTGCGTTGTATCAGGCATTTTCGGTCTTTTTTTACCTTCATTTAATGAGTGTTGAATGTAAGAGGATAATTTACATGATGGACTGCATTCTAAGCTCTGGTTTTTACCGTATTTATTTTTATATCCTGCAATTTGGCGTGCTTTTATAAAACATATATAAAATTCCAGTGAAAATAATGCTCTTATATACAGAAAGGAGTTTTCCAAAGCTAAAGGTAAGGGAGCTCACTCTCTTTAGGAAGTTCCCAACTACTTTGTTGATGATTATTTTTTTAGACTGTGAATCTTTTTTGATGTACTGATTCGAATTATTGTTAAGAACTATGACCTATTTCATTAGTATTGCTTTTGTCATGTATTTGATTGACTGATTTTCCAAATGTCATAATTCCATAAGCCAATCTGATGAATGGTAAAATGTTTGATTTGATGATATACAGAAAATAAGTTAATCCAGACAATCATTAGTTTTATCTGGTAGTTAGATTAATATTTATGAAAATGGCTATTTAGGGTATCTTTTCACTCTTATGAGAACAACACTTTAGATTTTCAGGTTAGTGAGGGTTATTTCTTTTTAATTTAACAATAATTTTTAAATAATTAACCATTTATGAATATGCAACAGTAAACATAATCTTTTGTTGATGAAGTACTAAGGGAATACTGTCATACATAATGTTCAAGTATTATAAAAATAATTTCTAATTAACTGAACAAATTGTTTCCGCACTAACAAGTTACAATTAATATTTTTTTCATACAAAATACAAAGAAAAACAAGAACAAGAAATATTTTACTTTCAATCAACATAAATCAATCAATTTTCACACACACACTTATATATTTGCTTAAAATGTTTTCTAAATTTATAACAGTAATACAAACAGGACATAAATAATTAATGATTAATTTCTACATTGATTGAGTCCAGTATTTTATGATGTAAATAAATGTTGATCAAGGTATATTGCAAATACATAATCAAAATGGATTACTCCAAAACTATCTTAATTTTTCTAGTTTCTATATAATTGTTTATTCTTGCAAAATCCTATCGTTGAGATGAATTCTTTGGACTTTTGGTTTGGAAATCGTATGCTATAGAATGGTGTCTGCTAAAGTGGTGGGATTTATATGAATAAAGCTTATGATAACCATGAAAAAAGAACTATTTCAATAATTTGTTCTTCTATACTCATATTCACTGTCATTATTATAGGTAGAATTTATTCACTCTATTTAAACATCTAGATAGTATTATATGCTTCTAAAATATTAGGTTTAGCTTATAGACTGATTTATTACGTTAAATATCAATATTAGGACAATGCTAAATGATTAAATTCATTAATTACTAAATAAAAAACCTCCAATATATGTAAGTAACATGATAAGCGTTTAGTTTCTAAGATGGATTTAGTATTCGCCTATTCATTTCAAAGAAATGAGTTTGAAATTATTTTGTAAAGATTGGTTTATTATAGTCCGAAACATTATTGAGATGATTCAAACAACTAATGCAAATGTATTTTGTAGTTTCTTTCCATTTTGTTTTAAAATAGATCATTAGCTACATTTTAACAAACAGAAACGAGCAAAGAAATTACTTTATTTTACAAAGAAAAAATTATGTAAATTAAGTGACAAGATATTGAAAAATAAAAAAAGATTTATTTGCTCAAAAGGTTCAAAAGTCTACAAAACTCGAATGTTTAACGGAAGTGTAGAATTGATTTGAAAATTATTTCATAAGTGAATAACTAATATCACCCAGAGATATATGTGATATAAGATCAATGAAGATTATTGTTAAATGTATTACGACCCTAATAATGATGTTTTTCCTTTATTTTTATTTTTAATCTAATTTTCCTTATTAAACACACCAGTTCAAAAATATCATCTTTAACTTAATAAAGAAATTGAGATCATTAAGTGATAAGAATATTTTTAGCAATAAATTATTAATTTAGTTAAAGATTTCTCAAATGGAATCATCCATAGCAATTAGCATGGTTAATGTAATAGATGTGGAAATATTGTACGACTTAGTCGAATATGTAATAGATCAACTATGATTATAAAAAGCATAGTAACAATTTTCAGAACTTTATGTATAAACTGAAATAAGTTTTTTTTTAAGAAAATTTCTCAAGTGAATATGAATATGAAAAGGATCCTAAAGGAAACAAGGTTTATTATTTTCGTGTGGCCCTTTATTTTATTGTCATTTAGATCGGACGATGTTGTCGACGGGCTCACCACTTAAGTGGCCCCAGATCTGACTCCAATTAGATCGTATAAATGTATGATGTCAAAATATATGCATCCTGATTATTCTCGTATACCTTTATCAACTTAATCCGCGTTGAGTGAATAGCGGAATTAAAAAATAAGTCAAATAACGAGAATGGAATTTTGAATAAATATATTTTGCACGTGAAGCGAAACGACGCGCAGTGGAGATGGCATGTGAGCAAACTCCCTTTTGTCAAGTGTTAATCAATATTTGTAGTTACACAAAAATAAGTTACAGACATGTGATGAGTAATGGGATAAGAAGTGTACACACACCTACGCGCTCATATAAAAACAGTGAAGATTGATAAGCGAATAATTAACAAGATCAAAATGTGACTCAAGTAGAATGAATAGATTGGGCTTTCCGAAAGCTAGAATAAAGTATATGGGCTTAACACAATAACCAACACCACATTATTATGGAAAATATCCTGTATACTCAAATAAAAAATATAATTTTTTGATCGGTGAGTAATTTTATGTTTATGAACATATAAATGTTATTCAGATATTTTAATGCATAATTACCGTCCAACTGGATTACTTATCTAAAGTGAACATCTGTCTTTGTTTAACATCTGAAGAAGTTAATTGATTACATTATTTAATCATACTTTTTTTCATAAATTACCCTTGAAAGACCCTAACAACCATCCTGTTTCATAACAGGAGAGTCTTTGTAAGATTATCAGTTTTATAAAGCCAATTTCAAAGTAATGAAATCGTAATCATTATAATCTTACTTTCAAAACAACTTATTCGTTATAAGTTTCATATCAATATTTTGAACCAGCTATAGTAATTAGCATGTATGTAGCTGGAAGTGAAACATGATGTACATTTAATTCACACTATTCTAAGAAAATTTTTAATTTCGATTTATTTAAATTTGTGAGGAGAATTAATTGCACAAAATACTTGTAGTAAAGATGTATGCCTACATTGAAAAACCTTACAGTTTTAATGATAACACAGGTGATGAAAATAGTTATTGTCCTGAATCAAGGGTTAAATCCCAAAGTGCAAATTACCCAGCTATAGTGATGTAGGTTTGATTTCATTTTGTGTTAAGATCAAATGTCAAGGTCTTATTTAATAAGATGTAACATGTTTATAGTTTTGCATGAGAATCACTAATTATCTAAACAAAGCCACTTCATGGTAAGCAATATCTTACAGATTTTTCTGTTTTGTTGAAAGCAATGATATCAGTTAACATACTTACCTTTGAAGAAACGACATTACCAGACGATTCACCAACTCCTAACATTTTTCTTGCTTTGTATCTGCTCAGCAAATCCGAAGAACTTTCTTTGCTGTAATAAAATGGGAAAAAACAATATTTTGACGGTAAAATTTTAAACATTTATTACTTCAAAATATGATTAATCAATATATCTTTTTCATAGTTTAACTTAGTATCAAGAGCCAACTATTATTATCAACAATATTTTGGTATAATTATGATTTGATTCTGCTATGTGTAAACTTCTTTTATGACAGTAAATTCACATGTTTTAACAGTGTACATTGACTAAACCAGCTATAATCCAAAGTATAAAGTTATAGATTTTAAATTTATGAATGATACATTTGTGTTTGTAATAGAGAATAAAGTGAGAACAATTTTCGCTTTCACTTTAAGCAAAGCAATCTATATGGAATTTTGGAATCTATTGTCCTTATGGGTATTGAATGCATTTTTCAAGATTTATGTGAATATACTCAATAATATTATGTGTGTGCCACTGATGTTGACAGATATAAGCAGTATATAACATCGTTTCAAAGTCAAATGCCTGGCAGAAAAAGGTTAAGAAGATCGAAAAGAAGAGGACGAGAACAGAGAATGATTGGTTTGGAAACGGAAGAATAATGAAGTCTGAGATAATTGATGAACATTTTTCAAATGAAGATTTTACTAAGTTTTTCTGTCATTTTGTATTCATAAACATTTGGTTGTCCTCGCCCGTGTTTTCGTTCATTACAGTATAAGATTATGATTATCAGATTATATTTCGAATACTTTAGGATTAAATATCGACACTAAAAGACAAAATGTTCGTTATCTGATTACATAATGTAAATGATAACTTTGGTTTATTAGGAATTCTGTGACATTTCATAAACAGGAAGTGATCATTTTTATAACTTTTTAACTTAGCCATCTAAAAAGAAAATGCATTATTTAATGTTGAGAATCTGGAAAATAGACTTATTCCAATTTTCTAGTTCAGACTGTATCATTCATGATTTGTGTCACTTGATAAGTACTGGCAATCACTTCTAGCTTTCTTGATAAACGTTCGGTAAACAGTAAGACTATATATATATATATATATATATATATATATATATATATATATATATATATATCTGTCGACATAAGTAGTATGTAAAACCAATCGGAAGTGGAAACCTTGGCAGGACAAGACTAAGAAGATCAAGTTGACGGGAATAGAAGGAAAAATAGACAGGAATTGTGAACTGGAAGAATCATACAGAATTTGAAGGACAAATCATAGAAATTCTCAAATGAAGTATTCAGTGCATGGTCTCATATTTTAACAAGACATTCTCTAATTTTGTTATATAATACATTGATTATCCTCATCACTGTTTTCGTTCATTACAAAATTTTGTCTACTTTTAATAGTGAACAACTTAATATTTTGAAATCATCTGGGTTGAATTGTTTTGCCCATTGTCACTCATTATTCAGCGCTTTCGATAAAAATAAATACTTCAAAGATCACATAAGTTATGCCAACGATTAATTATCTGTCATTGTAAATCACCAACTGATTATAGTTGGACCACCATTAGAAATTTAAGGGCATTACACGGCTGTCTCGTCTTAATATTGGACTCCTCAGTAGTACGTATTCACGGCCTCGGAATGAGGAACCAAACTCTGGACCATCAGTATTGCGTGCTAACGTCTGAGCTCTAGACCACCAGGTTGGGATTCAATACTGTGCATGTCTAAATTCAATCAGTTCACTAGTGATTAGCTTCTGGGCTCAATTCCAGGAGTTAGAGGGAGAAGCCATGACCAAATGAGTTTAACCCCATAGGGTGTGAAACAGTTATCTACTGAAGGCAATGAAGGAAACAGATCTCCAATACTTTATGGCTTTTAGTGGTAGTCTATCTATGAACAGTTAATAATTTAAAACTACGAAAATTCTATTAGTCTACACAAAATCCCATACTGGTAATAAATTATTCAGTTACTACGTGCTGGAATTTTCCCTAAAAATAATTAAAAAGCTTTCTTAATGGGAACTATAATAATTTGAAATTTCTAATCAATCATAAAATTAATAATTTAATAAATATAATTAATTCTGAATCGTTTGGAAAGATTTTTTTTAAAAGACTGAAAATACATTCAAGTACTTTAAGTAGTGTGGATTATATTAGTGTCATTAATTATCCTCATCTTCAAGAATGAAATTTATTCAAGAATTCTCTAATATAAATTTCTCTTACTTAATGTAATTTATACTTAAACGTACGAAATTCCCTACTTAGTGGCACCGTATTGAGGGCCAGAATGTCGACCAATCACTAATGAATGCTTCCATTCACGAGTTGAAATTTGGTCTGAGATACCGTCATATGAAGTTTGTGCTGATGTCGTTCAGAAGAACGATGAAAGCTCCACGACCAAACCATCTAGCTCAGAGAACAAAACTCCATCAAAATCATCCACCTGAGCTACAAATCTTCTCCACCATCTCAATACCGTCATATTATTATGTATGTACATATGTCAGTTCATTGTATTATTTTCACCAAACGTTTTTTTATTTACCTCGTATGTCACTTACAAATCATTTAATTCATGTCAATTATTGTAATCATGGAATAATATAACTCAAAGAACCATTTAGATTCCACTGACAATTTTAAATAAGAATCTTCTTTTATCACTAATAGGTAGAGTTTGTCAATATATGTCTTTGGTTCAGTTCTATGAAAGTCTCGTTTTCAATAAAAAAAAACACTGATTATCACTGATTCAATTCCGTATAAGGGCATAAATGTTAACTGATGATAACTTTCAAACTAGTATGGAGCAACTGTTCAGTGCTTTTAATTTTCCTACTAGTTCTTCAGATGACCATCGTGATAGCTCTTTCAAATGGTATTTTTATCTCTAAAAAAAATCAAAATTTTCCACCTTGTGATATACAATCTATTGTTTTCACTTAATAGGAGCTTTTTGTTCGTTTTCCCTTTCTAATTTTATTAAATTCTCTATTGTATTCTTATCTTTAATTTTAATTTCACCTGTAACAAAGCATAATTTCATCCCATATTCTTTACTTAGAGAAGCCAAATATAATTTTCCCTAATTTTTATCTAGAAAATATATGTGAAATCAGAATAAAACGTAGTCAATAAATCACGAATATCACTTCCTATTGTTTTTGATGATACTTATCAGAATGATTGTAAATATGAGAAAACAGTTATGATTTAGTACAAAATTTATACTTTATTTCTTCATTGTACTAAACGTACACATTTTGGAAGATAGCCTATGAACGTTTAACAATAATTATTACTAAATATTGACCAATAACCCCTTGATCAAATATCAACACTTATCTTGTTCAACAAATTATTTATCGTATTACAAGTGTCTTCTTTGCTTGGTTAACATGAGATTTTATGAAATCTGAACTTATTTCATGGTCTATTTTGTAGTTTCTAAGTAATAGACATTTCATTAAAAAGAGAAGAGTATCAACATTATTGTAGATGAAATTCTGGCTTCAATTTTAATTTAATCTGTTCAGTATTTTAAGTAATAAATAACAACTATCATGATTTTGAAGTGAAACTAACTGCTATTATCTTATTGATTACCAGTTAGTAATCAATATGAAACTGATCAACGGAACAAAGCTAACTAAAATATCTCAGCTCTACAGTAAGACACTGATTGCTAGAATTGTTCAGTGAGAATTTCTCTATACATGACTAGGTGACTTGAATTATAATACTACGGAAGACATCAGTTCCCTCAGAACTGAAGTCAAGCATTGGCAACGTGTAGTTAGTGATAAAGAACCTAGATCTAGAATTACAAACTAATATCTCATAACAATTATCACAATAAGAACATACTGAAATTTATTTGGACAATATAAAATACCAAGCTGTGAAACGCATATGGAGAAATTCGAACACTTCACTTCTATCTGAAGTTTGTGCTGATGATGTCGTTCAGAAGAACGATGAAAGCTCCACGACCAAACCATCCAGCTCAGAGAACAAAACTCCATCAAAATACCAAAGTACTTTTTTAGGTTAGGTGATTATTTGTTGTAAACGTACTGTGTAATATTATTCCCACACATTTGCCTATATTACAATAAGATTAACATTTACAATGTCTGATAACTACATTCAATATATACTTTTTGGATTTCTACACAAATTTTTCTTCACAGTGAATCAGGAATTAATAGAAATAATTATCATCAATCATTGATTAGTTTTACATCAGCTTATGTTAAACTTCCATTTGGATTTCTTTATTTTGCCAAAATTATTTGGTCACTTTTTCTATTTATCTAATCCTTCAAAACTTGGATTTGAAATAGTTTCTAAGCTTAAACAAAATAAACTTTATTCAATTGTTTCATATAATAAAACCGGAAGAAATGAAAAACACAAATAAGAAACTATTTCTTTTAATAAAATGTCTATATAGTTGTTGATTTATTATTTATTTTCTTATGAATGGAGAGATAAATTGCCTTCAAAAACTGGATACATCAAGTCATGTTTTATTTTAATATTAAAATTGCGTAAATTAATGTTTAATTTAAATGATTCAAGTATTTTTTTTCTCTCATTCACTTATTATGCTAAATAAAAACTAATCACAATATTTGGAACAAGTATGTATATAATCTGATTAAGTTTAGTTACATTATGTGTATATGATGAAGTTAGCTGGCAATACAAGTGGATTTCAATCAGTGAAATCTATGGAGAATAATAGAAATCTATTTTTTTTATAGTCCAGTATTATCATAGAACCTAATTGGAGACCTTTAATTCAAGCACTACCATGATTTGGTTTTCTTTTATAACTCCCATTCCTACGATAAAAAATTAAATTGGTTTATCAATCTGCCATCTAGAGTAATTACAATAAAATCCATGAATGCAAGCAAACGTATAAAAGTTCCATAATACTTTACGTAGAAAATATACTCTGTAACGAACAGGTTGTTAAAGTTAACCTAGTTAATAACTGGTATTCTTAGACATGTCTCTAATTTGGAAAGTTGTACAGATTCAGATCTTTTTCCTTCCTTTTTTGTTGTTGCTTTTTTGATTTTGTAAAAGAAACTTGTTGAAATATCTTATGCTAAGGATTCTATATTGTACCAAAATATAATATTGAATAAGGCCATTAATAATAATAATAATAATAATAATAATAATAATAATCTTTTCAAATATACTGAGTGATTCGTTGAATAAAATATATAGCGCTTCTATGCTATTTAGGACTACGACGTATCTCTGTTAATGTACATTTAAAACAGAACAGCGATTTCTACTAATTCCCTTCAGTTTCTAAAAACCTTATACAAAACTTTTGACGATTATATCTTGTAAAAAATACTCATGTCAGATTACTAGATGGAAAAGTTTGAGACTAACTTAAATGTTGTGATATATATGTCTATTGTGAAACAAGAGTAAAACTATTAGTGACTCTGATAGTTTTAAATAAATTGAGTATTGGGTAGAGAGTTAATAATAAATATATTCTTATTATTTATTTACTCTGAAGAAGTGCCTTGCATTAAGTTATGAAATGTCAGAAGTACAATTCTTCTACCCATTGGACTGTAACGGAAATATATTTATTGTTATTAGTGACTCTGATTTAATAAGCGATGGAACTGCTCATTGATTTCAGACTAACTTGATGGCACTTTTCGTATAGTGTTGTCAATTGTAGGATCATTTTTATTGACGAACAATATCTCAAAACACATAAATGTTTCTAAGGCATCGATATGCAATGTTTCAGTAATTTTCAATATCGACTATTGGTTAAAAAAGTTACCATTTATACTGTGCTTAATCTGTAAACAATTACTTTGCATATATCAATATGAGTCAAAATAAGGACCGTCTTAATAAACTATGTAAGTGAAGAAGCTCTACCAATTATACGCATCTATTAGTGGTCCATTACAACTCATTGAGTTTAAAATACCTTGAACACTTAATAACACAGATGCAATACAGTATAATCTGTGTTCTTATTGATGTATCCATTGTGTACTGCATACTCAATAATTAGATTGTTATAGATTACTTCCCACAGTGTACTAGAATTTCATCGGTAGTTTTTAGTCAAGTAAATCATTATCGATTATAATTATTTCAGTAATTTATTCAATCACTTTTGAGTATTTCCTTTGCTAAAGCGTATTTGTTTTCTACCAAAGGTATATGCTTTAGCCATTGAATTATGCCCATGAAAAACAATACAAACTGAAAGATATTTAAATTACAACAGCTTACATCTATAAACATTTCTAACATTGTTGAGGTAAGAAAGAAGAATGATTTGAGAAGCATTTTATTGATTATGAAGTAACTAAGTAGAAGAATCCCTTATATCCAGTACTCTTCAATGGTCAAAAACCCACTCAATGATGAACATGTAAGCTCGAACTTTAATGTCTTAAGCAAGGATAATTAAATGCGTGAATATCATGGTAATTACATGAAAGACAAAGGGATTAATAAGAATTGTTGTCACTTAATTGCTATTATTATATCACAGTAGTGCTGAGGTATAAAAAGACACAACTGTAAGTGTTGTTGTGACAACACCAACAGGTCATAGTACTGATATTGATCAACTATAACAAAACTCTGGTGATAAAGAAAACTCGGCTTTATGAACAAGCATTTAATCCTTCAGAAACGTTGTACAAAGTTGAAAAGAAGGGACTAATAATTATGGGTTTCCATAATATGTGTCCAAAATAATGTTAAACATACCATAAGATATTGGTGATAAAACAGTAGAAAAATCAAATAAGCTACTGCTGAAATGTCCAAATTGTCATTAGCCCTCTATTTTAGTTATTCAGTTTATTACCAATAATTAACGGATGATGTGATCAACCATTCCATAAATACTAACTCTTTTGTTAGTCTTCCTATAGTGTGTATTTCTGGTCCAGATTTTATAAAGAATCATAATAATCTGCTTAACTTACCGTTCAATGAAGGCTTTCATGTCGATATGTGAATTGGCTGTTTGAACCACTGATTTCTGTTTGATATTATTTGTTGTGTTTTGTAAAACTAAATTTCTTAGTTTTGGTTTAGATTGTTGTTTCGTGTACCAAAAGAATTTAACACGTTTTCTTTAAAATGTTTATGCTGTATATTTAGTGAACAAGTTTTAAAAAGGAAATTTATTCGTTCCTAACTTTTCATTGGTGCTTTTTATTCGGCCAATGGAAAACTTTAAATCTGTTTCAATTTAGGATGTCTCCTGGAGCATAACAACTAGTTTTAATCATATCTATAAAAAGTGAACAAGATGAGTAGTACTTAAAACCCATCCATGAATGAAATAAATCAAAATCTAAAGACCCTAATTCTTGTTACTTTTTTAAAAGTAATAATAATGAGACTCATTGTTTCTTTGCGTTTTACATATCCGAACTATTGGGTTACCATGGTGAAGCTTTTTTAGTTGTAAAACAATGTTTATATCTTCCGTTTTTAAACACTGATCTAAAGAAATCTAGGTAAAACAATGATAACGTATAACTTGTCTTGTAGATATTATCAAAATGATAATTTTAAGTTGTTTTATTATTAAATGACTCAAGCTATTATTTTTGAATTGTTATAAGCAAGCAAGACAGAATATAGTGTAGAATACAGTCCATTTGTTGATAATTCCTACTGGTCGTATTATCTCATGATAACAGTGATTCGTCACAATAATTAGTGCTATTTATGTATCTTTATAACTTACTATACTATACTACAGAAATAATAAATTTAGGATATAAATGAATGAACAGTGGCGCAATTTCATGGATTAGTTGCAGATAGACATTTTAGTGGGGCCTTTTATTTTGTCGTCATTTAGATGGAACGATGTTTATTGACAGGCTCACCACTTTAGTGCACCGGGATCTGACTCCAATTTGATCATATGAATGACTGTTATTGAAATATATATGTCATCTATCCTCGTATAACGAGAATGTACTTTTGAATACATATATTTTGCACATGAAGCGAATGGAATAGAGTGAAGCGAAACGACGCGCAGTGGAGATGGCATGTGAGCAAACTCCCTTTTGTCAAGTGTTAATCAATATTTGTAGTTACACAAAAATAAGTTACAGACATGTGATGAGTAATGGGATAAGAAGTGTACACACACCTACGCGCTCATATAAAAACAGTGAAGATTGATAAGCGAATAATTAACAAGATCAAAATGTGACTCAAGTAGAATGAATAGATTGGGCTGTCCGAAAGCTAGAATAAAGTATATGGGCTTAACACAATAACCAACACTACATATTAACACCGTTGGATGCCCGATCATTTGTCTAGGGGTTAGGCGTTCTCGAGCGAGACCAATAGGTCTTGGCTTCTAATCCTGCTGGCGGGATCTTGGATGCTCACGGTTGAGGAGTCCCATACTAAGACGAAATGGCCGTTCAGCGCTTCCAGGTTCTCTATAGTGGTTAAGCTTTAACTGACTCATGAATTCAACTATCAAATTACTATAATATCCCTAAAATCTCCTTTCTAATATAAAAGAATTCTCAACTACTTATTCATATAAATGCTATAGTCAATTAGTTAATATCATGTATATCTACGCTTCGGCTATTCAGTCTATTAATTTTATATCCTTCGTATGAGTGAAATATTAGTTTAATTTCAATTCGTTTAGAAAAATTTATAGCCTGTAGGTAAAGTTGAGATAAAAGTAAACATGCAATTGGATTAATCATTTTCGAATATTCATTCATTATAAAAAAATGGCTTTGACCAAAAATCACTACAAAAAATTAATGAAAAATATAATTATGTAAGTGATTACTTCGGTCACAAAAATGTAATCATCGACCTAATTATGATGGAGTCTATGACTCTTAGACAATAAAACGGTAATAATTTTCTTAATAACGTTTAAATCTGGAATTTCTCATATCATGATGAACAGACGTTTATGAATGAATTACGTCATATGATTGATTATGTCTGAAAATGTCTATTAGAAATAGTATAAGAAATATTATTAAGCGTTTAAGTGATTCACACTTAACTTTACAAAAAATAAATAAAGTACAAAAATGTAGCACCTCATTTATGATTAACCAGTTACTAAGTATTGACAAATGTCATGTATCATAAGTCCTTTGTACTGTTGATCAGATTCTATCGGTCAAGTTGCAATCTGACAAATAGTATAAATGACTTAATATCCCATTTGTTATGCACAGATGTGAGGTGGTGGTTTGAGGTAGTCGACAGGATATTCTAGAACTAGGCGTCGTGTTGTTTGGTACTCGTTAGCAAGATGTACCATTGATATTGAGGAGAATGATGATTCCTGGTGAATTCAATACTATATCACCCATCTCTACAATCAGACATGCTATCACTGAGCAAGTCAAGCCGCAAGTACTACCTTACATCTCAGAATAATAAATGAAACATCGAGTCATTTAGACTAGTGGTAAGATTGTAACTTGGTTGATATAATTTCGATCAACACTAAGAAGGATCTGACTCACATGACATTAGTTACTACTCAATGACCAATCAGTTTTAATTACATTTCAGTCCTACAGAAGATGATTGGCTGCACAATTAGCTCAATGATAACGTACCCGATTGTGAAAGTGGGTGATATGGAATCGAATCCTTCAGGAAGCATCAACACCACAGGTATACCTTGCTGACAAGTGCCAAACAACATGGAATTTGGGTCCAGCGTTTCAGATAAACTATCTACAACCATCACCTCAATTGACCTCATATACTAATAATGAACAATATATTAATAAATTCTAAACTTGATCTACTACTAAAAACTTCAACTTTAAAATAATATACCCGAGAAGAATTTGTGATTCAATCATACCCAAATTTACTATTGTGTGGACCAGATGAAACACAATCTATGTAGCTTCACTTTCACAGTAGTGATGAAAAGGTAAGATTTGTAAGAAATTACCCCAGTGATAAAGTTTTTTTCAAAATAATGCTCCCAAATATTGTAATTGATATGACATGATGAGAAAGCCAAATTACATTATTTTACTCATTGTGATTTTTATTCAACATTACTTACCTTTTAATTCATTGTGATAACTACTCAGTGTAGCATTCGGTTTTGTTTTCCAGTATTGTATATCATTTGGTATAACATTCACCTATTGGAGTGTGATGTTTATTTAAGTCAATATACGATATTCTTGTATTAAGTTAACGGGAACTATATTCAATATGATATGCAGAGCATGATTTGTTATAACTATGAGTAGTTTTCCTCTATGTGATTTTCTTTCTATTAACAATCGAAATAAGTGTAAAATCAATATAAAATGAGTGTATTTTTGTTTAGGTTTGTTTGTCATGTTTAAGGATTAATAAATCTTCACTTGGATCAATCTTGGTGTTCATACTTCATGTCGTGGAAATTTTAATGGTTCGTTGTTCCAAGAATAAGTGATACGATGAGAATAATTCCCTTTGAAAAATCTACCTGCCTCAGAAAGAATTCCAATTTAATAATCATGTTTTCTCAATAAAATTATCGATCAAATGTTATTCATGGAATACACAAACTTTAACATTCATTTCATCAAAACAAAATAAAAAATTCTAAGTGAACAATTAAATTATTTATTCTGTGGTAATTATTATTAAATTAAAGTTTAAGATGGCTATGGAATGTTGTCATTTAACAAGTTTGTATTTTACTTTCCTGGAGGATTTATTTCAAATACTTTAAAAAAAACAAATTTTGTTATTTGAGCCATCATCATGTCTACATTGATTCTGTTAAATCGGAATAATAAAAAGATAGAGATTGGATTCTCAATTAGACTGTAATCATATGTCTTATGAATTGAATAACAATAGTTGATTTATTTGAATTGAAAATGAAAACACTAATGATATACACTAGTATGATGTCAGGTAAGGATTTTTGTGTATATTGTTTATTGATTATTCTACTCAGTTTATTCAATCCATAATTATTTTTTCAGATTTTATGATCTATGAAAATTGTTTCTAATATCACTTTGAACATATTGTTTACTCATTCGAACTCACGTTCTCAACAAATACATGAAGCGAAATTAAATGGTTAAAGTAGTATTGACATGCTATTTACTTACTTACTTACGCCTTTACTCCCAATGGAGAATAGGCCGCCGATCGGCATTCTCCATCTCACTCTGTCCTGGGCCTTCCTTTCCAGTTCATTCTTCTCATGTCTGTCACTATTTCTCAGAGTAATGTGTTCTTTGATCTTCCTCTTCTACTTTGACCCTGAAGATTCCATGTGAGGGCTTGTCTTGTGGTGCAATTCGGTGCTTTCCTCAATGGTTGTTCTATCCACTTCCAACGCTTCTTCTTGATTTCTTCCTCTATTGGAACCTGGTTTGTTCTCTCACACAATAGGTTGTTGCTGATAGTGTTTGGATAACGGATCCGAAGTATTTTGCGTAGGCAACTGTTAATAAGTACATGTGTCTTCTGGATGACGGTTTTCGTAGTTCTCTAAGTTTCCACCTCATATAGTAGAACTGTCTTGACATTTGTATTGAGAATTCTGACCTTGATGTTGGTGGACATTTGTTTTGAGTTCCAGATGTTCTTCAATTGTAGATATGCTGCTCTTGTTTTACCGACCCGCGCCTTCACATCTGCATCACATCCACGGTGCTTGTCAATGATGCTGCCCAGATATGTAAAGGTTTTACATCCTCCAAAGCTTCTCCGTCAAGTATGATTCGATTGGTGCATGTTGTGTTGTATCGGAGAATTTTGCTCTTCCCTTTGTATATGTTGAGACCTACTGCTGCTACACTGGTCGTCTTCTCCCGAATTTGTTGTTGCATGTGCTACAGAAGAGCCAGATCATCTGCGAAGTCTAGGTCGTCCAGCTGCATCCTAGCTGTCCATTGTATCCCATGTCTACCCCCAAATGTTGACATCTTCATAATCCAGTCGCGTAAACCA